ATATATATATATATATATATATATATATGTATGTATATATCGCATCAAAGATTGTAAGAAAGAGAGAGAGAGAGAGCTGAGATATTTTTATTGTATTTTTCTTATCTACAATACTTATCTATAGTACGATATAATAAATTTATAATTCGATGCTCGGCCATCTTAATTTTAGCGGCAATGATCAGCTTTGCTCGCTTAATTAAGTAACATGTAAGTACAGAACTTCTCGGAACAGGCTTCTTAATTGACCTTCGTAATCGGATTTCGCGGCGGCGATCGATAGCGGTAAAAGTGAATGGGATAATCCAGCGGAACGGAGAAATTTTCGGGATAATATTTTACTTTTAGCATTAAATAGGGAACATTAGCGAAATAAAATGCACTGGCCGTAGCGGGCGGCCATGTGCAGGCGTCATTATTCGTCGAATGATCGCGCGTACGTTAGTGGGTCCATTATCGTAATGCGTCCAAGTGCACGCGACTGTTAAAATTAATTTATTGTCGTGGCATTATTTTTCTATGCGAAATTCAAGGATGGACGTCGATATACCGTCGGCGTACTGATACGCGAAAACGCGCGATTGTTTCTATATTGTACAGAACACAAGAATTTTTATGTTATCGCTTCGTATTTTTACGTTATTGAAAAGAAAATGAAATTAAAGATAAATATGAATGTTGGCGGTGCAAAACGCGACGAGCGCTTCTCTTTCTTTCCAATTCGCTCTCCAATTCGTTCTCTCGAGTTCAATTCATTGGATGCATGTTTAAGTTGATATTCTCTTGTTTAGCGAGATCTCGGATTAAACGTAACAGAAATAGAATTTTAGTAACATCAAAATATAGAGCGATGAAAATGAGTAACAGATTCTCATTCATTGATTTTAAATCGTTCTTTGTATTGTATATTTACCTAAAAGTGCATTGACTCCGATGTGCCAAATTCTCGATAATAATTAAAACCCTATGCTGTACTGATATTTTTGTTTAATGCAAGAGTGCAGTGTAAATTGCTCACAAAATCCTTTGCCCTCGACAGTCCTCGACAAACTTGGAAACGTTTCGAAATTGGATTGTCACGCAACACGGCAATCCTCTCAACGGATTGAAAAAGTTATCGCTATTCAAGGTATACAAACAGCTGACGACTAATCCCGAACGTAGTAGTATTAAATTATAACTACAATAACGACTTGTTGAAATAACTGTGGAGCATTTTTTTGGTACATATATCGATAAAATTGAAAAAAAGTTCGGCGGTCTTTATTATAACGTGCAAATAATATTAAATAAATAAATTAAAAAAGCAAATCAGAAACGGTAATATACAACGAAGAAATAACTAATAAAAATAATAATTTAAAACTCGGTACGTTACACTTTCTTCCAACATTTCGGTGAAATATCTCTCTGGTTTATTGTAGGAGATTAATCTCGAGATGTATGTGTACATATGTGTGTGTATGTGTGTGTGTGTGTGTGTGTGTGTATCCCGCTCAACTCAACCTCGTTCGACGCAATTGTCGTGAAAACACTTTTCTGTTTGAGATTTTATTTCCTACGCTGACACTGGATATGGATCGAACTTTACGTTGAGATGGGTCGGTCATCTCGGTCAGATATAAAAGTTTCGCGAGGGATTTTACGATGCCGCCTCGGTCTGAGGCTAGCGACGGATATACGAGCGGATAAACAGCGGCATGCTCGAATCGCGGCCGCTGAATAAATATTTGTCCATGCAAAGAACCGTTCCAGCTATTCCTATCTTCAATTTCTAGTCGGAGCTCATATAGAGGATGGATTCGCGCGTGGACGAACAAAAGTCCCGACGCTCTCGTGGCAGTCATATTAATTATAACGTCTCAAAGGCAATCTTCTTTCTTTCTCTCTTCTTTCCCGATTGGTAAATCTATTTGCATATCGCCGAAACTTAATTCGGAAAACTTCGTGATCTGCATTTTTTATTACGTCTTTTGCTGTAATTTGATCCTCTGCAAAATCTCTCTCTGCTAAGAGAAGATGGAAAATTTCTATAAGAATCCGCCGATAAAAGGAAAGCCGGTAAAACTGGGACGGCACGTGTATAGGCGACTCTCGGCACATGAAACTCTCCTTATGAAATCTCGTTACGACGTGAAACGACGCAGAGTTTGCGAAAAATTGCTCCAACGTCCCGCGTTCCATCTTCGATGTTCCTTCGCGGCTCTTTGTTGCGCCACCGCGCGCGTCGTACACCTCCCACCGCAAAAACCTGAAACTTTCCAGGAGCTTAATCTGGATATATCTCCATCTTCCGCAGGTTTCTACAAGCTTCCGGAGCCCATCTATGCGGATTCCTGCCGCAGATTGCAGTATCGTCGGAAGAGTGATAGCATGAAGCGGAAAGTTCGCGAGAAGTTCCTCAATATCTGGTGAGTTAATTAAGATCGTGTATCGTCTAATCGCTAAAACTGTACGCGACGCACCGTATCGCCTGCTATTTTATTAGCTCTACCTTAGTAAACGATAACAGAGTCTTGCATATACATACATAAAATAACGTGTCAAACGTGACATTTCAATAAGAAAACCCCGATAAATAAATTTCATATTTCCGTGACAAAATTGCGCGAGACGCGCGGATGCCGCGCCGTCGCGTCGGGGACGCCGTTATCGCTGATAGGCGGAAAAATTCCCCCGGTCTCGACTCGTGGACTTTTATCCTCGTACTAGGTCGATATAGATCTTCGGTACCTTAATGCCGATATTACGTGGGCAGGATCGCCAATGAGGTGCTTCCGCGGCATGTTCGATCGAAATGCCAACCCGGCCGTTGCCAACAAGGCCGTTGTGTCGAGGCATAGGCCATCAGCGACTGTAGTGCCGCGGCCGATGATTAAGCGGCTGCGATAATCCTATCTATTAAGCAGCAATATGCCGCTGTTTCCAGTTACATTGTCATCCAATAGAGATCCGATCGACCCGCCGCCGTTCGCTACTCCGGGAGTAATGCGAGAGCCCCCGCGTTCCCCATGTCATTGTGATTAAGCGTCGATGCACGGCGCGTGCATCGATCGCCGATCGCGTATGTAGATAACAAAAACGCGATCCGACCTTCGAAGATTGATTAGCCGGGGGGGAAAGTTATTCAATAACGAGCACGCGACGCTGGAGATTTCGCCGTTGCATGGATATCCGGGATGTCTCGCCATTCGCGTCTGTCTTTTTACTAACGAATTTCTTCAGCCGATTTGTAGAACTCTTCTCAAATTGTCGAGCAACCAGAACCGTTTTGCATAATATCGTGACAGAAACAAATAAATTTTAATTTTCCATTTTGTGAAATGCCGATATAATATTGATGATTACTGATTATTCGTTGTTCTAGTTTTTCGGTTAGCCGACAAATTTCAAAAGAGGAATTGTGATAATTAAATTAATAATTGATAATTAATTATTAATTTCTCATTTAGAGTATTTCTAGATAATATACAACACGTTAATATTTATTTACATTTGTATGGTGCAATCGTTGCGATTCATCATTTATTATAAAGCGAATGAGAGATAGGGGATAAACAAGCCATAATAATGATAAAGCCATATTGCAATTGCTATTGAAATATCCTCTATTGAAGTTCCTAGTCAATAAAGCATCCATTGATGGCTTAATTTGCCACGTTGAACGTCGGAGATCAAAGGATGCGGCACGGAAATTAATTATGAAATGATGTAGAAAGTATGGAGAATTTACGGGGGACAATTATCGGAAAATTAGAAATAAACAATTTGCCGGGAGTGAAATATTGATTAATCGTGCGCCGAAATATCGGCGGCAGATCGCTGAGAATAAAGTATCGATCAGTTCCCCTTTGAAGCGACGGCAAAGATAAACAATCAATCTCTCGGTGCAACGTGAAGTCCCATCACGCAAAACAGCCGTGCGGCGGTGACCGCGCGTCCCTGAATATAGTGAATACATATCTCTGTTCTCCTGGTTTACGGATATTTTCTTTATTCAATATTATATATCCCTTTTTTTTAATTAAAAATTTTTTAATTAAAAACGGATTTAGACTTACGCGCCGTAATATCTTAAATAAGAGCGGCACATACAATGTGAAATACGTTTAATAAAATATGGATTGCGGTATTAATCACGGAGGCACGAGATATTTTAGCACGTGAATTTTATATCGCTAGGGATATGTGAAAGCTTTTTTTTAATTTTACTAGCTTAAATGAAAGTGGCGGCGTTTCGGGTTAATGATTAAAATTTCAGTATATCCTCCGGGTTTTTCCTTATTCGCGCGTATTCGTCGATATTTCCTCGCGCGCAGGATATATTATCGTCGGTGCTCGATATCGACATGATCGAGAGCCTGCGTGCGCATCGCAAATAAGAACTGAAAGACGAATGGATCGTAAAAGTTGATTGATCCACGGTGATACGAGCGCGGACTGATGAACCTCCGGAGAAGGGCGAGGTCTGTGCCCTTGCGAGAGCACTACTACTGACAGTACCGTGCGACTAAAAATCCCAAGTAAGGCTGGCGTATCGAGTTTGTGCCGTCCAAAACAGGCGGTCCGTTAAGACGCAATACAAGCGACAGAGAGATATTCATTGTTAACAAATATCGCGGAAACGATGGAAAATTAATTTTTTTTGAAAAAAATTTTGTACGCACGGGAAAATGGAAAAAATGATATAACGAACAGCTTTATAATAAATGTATTTTAAAAGTTTTTTCATTTCAAATTATCTTTTTCACTTCAAAAAAATTACATTAATTATAATGAAAACGTCAATATTAACGCAAACTGTGTTATAGTAATTTTAAATTATATATTGTAATGTTAAAACACTCTATTGTAATTTTTCTGTATTTGAACATTTTGTAAAACAGCGCTTAAAGCAATAATTCTTTGAACAAATCATCGGGAAAATATATATTATGAATCATTTTTCCATTCCGAAAAAAAAAATATTTGAAATTTGTTATTATAGGAATAGTATTTTTTAAAGCAAAAAACGCGTATTATATAAATATTAACCTGTGCTGATGTTAAATTATGCTGATACAGAGAGAGGAACCTTAAAGCAGTCCTCGAAATTTCAAAAACGTGAATAATTGTTACACGATGATGGACAATGACAGGTATAAAAGAGTGCCGGATCTGTGCAGTGGTAAAATTCGTCGCTGACCAGACATCGATGTCGAATCGATTCTATTATTAAAACCGCTTTATTGATTGGATCGAGACGCTCAGACTTGATCTAGGATCACGAGTTATATATTGACATTGGCAATGGTATTAACATCGTGTACGACCGTCTGGTTTCATTTAACTAACAAGAAGAGCGCATTCAGCGTGTAAACGTGTAAGATGGGAATAAAATATGTGCGTGAGTAACGACGCGGAATACGAGCCATATTATCGTCATCGCATTTCCTCCCCAGGCTAGGATAACCGTAAAACGAAATAACGTATTACGTTAAAATTGAATACAACGTCGCATACGACTTTTCGATATTGAACGTGGATTTAGCGCAATAAGAGTCACGGATGCGTAAATGCGTGCATTCGAATCGGTTTTTAACAAATGTGTGATAAAATTCATGCAACTTATAAAGCGTTAATGAATCTCGGAGAGAACTCCAATATTTTTAATTTCACGAGAATCGTAGTAGAAACAATTAAATCGTTTACGGCTTATAGACTCGCAAATAATCGGCGAGCGCGTATTTTACATCTCCAATTACGAGTTACTTGTGTGCGAATGCGTTTCCCGAGAAATATCTGCAGCTGTTATTAATTTAATTATAGCTTATTTCATCCTACATCTTTTTCTCTGAATTCTTTCATTTATCCAGTTTTATTCGATATTTCCACTTACAGTTATACAACATTTGACAATACTTGACAGAAACTAACATTAAATTATATTAATTGATTTTAAGATATATTTTTCTATAAAAATGTTCTCTGCAGGTGAACTCTTTTTTCCTCTTTTTCTCTCTGCCTCTCTAAATTATTTAATTTAAAGCATAGAAAAATTACTTTTCACTCTGTCAAGCATACAAATATTTTATTTAGGGAATTTAAATTTTTGTAGAGAAAATTACATAAAAATTCTTTAATTACGTATTTATAAAAATTAATGTAAATAAAAGGAAATTATATAATATATATTTAAAATCGCATATCTGTCATTTGGAAAATTGGCAAGCAGCAATGTGCGTACTCTACATTTAATTTATATTTAGGAAATGTTAAATTACACCCACGACAAGTTTGACATTTTCTGTTAAATTTTCCGAACATAGAATTAATAGCATCGTCATCATTACGTTCGAGTTAGATTCTGCATTTGTGAAAGAGATAAAAAGCGGATTTACGTATATACGATGGCATAAATCATTTTGCGTCATGGTAAAAATCTGATTGCAGGTTGGCGCAATAATCGCACATGAACTTTTTATTTCGCCCTTATCAACGTATTTGCGCGTGATTCTTAGCGTGAAATGAGTGCCGGCTACTTTTCTCGATTTTCCTCGGTAATAAAAACCTCGTTTTTCCCGTGGGCATCGCGTATCGCGCGAAGGTCCCTCCGGCTATATTTATATGTCATATTCTAAATTCCGAAAATATTTCAGCTTGTTGAGTCGCCCCGTCGCGCGCTCGTCGCATCCGTTATAACATTAAGAAGCTAAACTCGGCGGGAACAGCGCGCGTCCGATTTCCCGTAAGCAAAAACAAATAAAATGAAAGGCGGCGCGGTGGAGATGCGTTGGTTCGTTACGCAAGCAGGAAGTTTCCGCGGGGCAGGAAATTTCCGCGAATCTCTCGTCGGGCGGGATATGCGCGACCGTGGGCTGTGGTGTAAAAGCGTGACGAGGTGCAGGGCAAGCATCGGATGTCTTAAAATAGGGAACATACGGCGGCGTACGGCCCCGCGGGACCGTGTCGGGGATGCCTCGGAATGCGGCTGTGTTACCTATAAGCCGTGCCGCCTTGCATCCACAACCACGCCTTTTGCATCCTCTTATATCGTCTCTGGTTCACGGGTCGACTTATTCCGCGCCCGGCGAAATATGCGATCCCGTCGCGCCGCCGCGCCGCGGCCGTCGCGTATCGAATATCAAAACGCATCGCGCTCGGCAGTGCGATATTCCCTGCGCTTCTCCGTGCAGACAAATAAAACGAAACGAGTAAAGGCGGAGTACGGCAGGCTCGCAGATCGCCCGAGACGTATTGCCGTTACTTTGATATGTTTCTCAAGGTTACGTCGTGGCGGTGAATGATAAGTGTGATTGGAGAACTTAGATTAATTCCCATTGATTTCGTCGAAAAATTTGTTCAGTCGAAACGTATTTTTAATCGTTTGCTTTTAATCGTCGAAATTAATCTTTGATACGCAATTTTTTTT